GTCATCCTTGATTGAGTGCATGCCTGAAAGCACCAGTCTATGGTTTGAGTCTCAGACTGATCCTTGTTTCCTCATGAACTTCCTCATCTGGCTGGTTTATTTATAACAATGTGTATTTTTAAAACATAGGATGAATTGTTGTATTCAACTTCCCTAGTCTAAAGATGTTGAAATAAACCCAAGTTCTGCATTATTTTTGGCATCAGTGACCAGCAACTGTGTTTATGTTCATTGCTGGTGTTGTCTTCTCGTGAGGTCTCCCTTTATGTTGGTCGCTTGTTAGCAGACCCTTCACGCGATAGCAGAGCAGGTACAGGAGGCGTTAGAGCCAGGGATCATTGTCCACTAGTTAATCGATCGTAGATGGCGTCGTGCTCGCGAAAAAAATAAAATACTTTGGCTTTGCGTTAATATACCTGGGCGGCCCAAACCCTGGAAGTAATTCACCTAGATTGAAATGAAATTGGGATAAATATGATGGGGACAGGCTCTGCAATTATGAAGCTAGAATGGGATGGGAAGAACATTTCACTCCCCTAGAACCCTCTATTGGAGGCGCCCAGGTGGAAAGAGCCCAGGCCTCAGGCTACCAGAGCAGCTAATGGATCCTGGATCAACGGCCCAGGGCTCCTCAGCTTTCACATCATCTGGTGTATCGAAGGAGTGTAGTGCGAACGTAATGACATGATGCTCTATTACGCCGCGATTGGTTGCCTTCTGATTGGCTTCACGCCCCCACCCCCTCCTCAACGAAACGACATCCCCTGTCTGTAATAAGCCACAACAGCAGGGAGGGAGACGTAATGAGCTTTATGGAAACATTGGAGGAAGGAAAGGTTGTTAAAAGACTCTACTGTGCTAAAACAGACTGAGTGCAGTGTCAATTGTGAAAGGGTGGAAGTGCAGAAACGAGAGTAACTGGACTGGCAATATGATGTTGCCAAATTGAAACACTGAGGCTAACCACTTAAGCAGCTGTCTGAGAAACCACTCTCCACAGAAAGCCACAGAAATCAGCGTCATCAGCCTGACACACGTATTGAGCTGCTTCTGTTTTCCATCACACTCTGAAAGCTAAGCCAGAAATCATTTGTTTTCACTGTCAACGCTTCATTTTCCAGCAGTAGCACTTGTCTATCTGGCTCCGTGCTTACACTCTGAGTTTCTACAACTTTCAAAAGTCCCATCCCGACCACAGATATCCAGTCCTGAGAATCAAGGGGACCTCATCTCCACTGCTGGGATTTCACCAAATACCCTTCCTGCCAAGACTAGAATTGTGTTTGGAAGGGTTGGGTATACACAGCTCGCTTGTATAGCGTGTGTGTCTTTGTTCAACGGCCTCCTGAGCAGCAACCAAGTCCCTCTGCCAGGCTGTTTGTTTGCATGCTAAGCTTTTCAACTGCGTGTTTGTGTGTGTATGAGCGTACTTGTGGTTTACTCCTCCTCACCGTGCTTGCCCAGCGCTGGCCTGTGATTATCCGTGCTGCTGGCTGCAGTTTGGTCTCTGGAAGGCTCTAGTCATCCCCCCCTCCCCCCTGATCCTCTGCCTTTTCCCAGATGCTGCCAGCAGGTGTCCATTGAAGGCAGGTGTGTGTTGGCTCGGGCAGTCTGACTGGTTAGCGTTTGGCCTCACAATTTCAAGCCCTGTGCATCTGCACAGCCGATGGAGCAAGGTGCTGCTCTTGCTGCATGTGTGTTTGCAACAGTTTAGTGGCCATACAACACCATGGAAAAGGATGGCTTTATACGACCTGCCATAAGTAGGCCTTAGGGCCCGTGTCCACATAGCAACAGCATCTTTTTTCAATGGATTTCAATGAGAACAGTGCACACGGCGACAGAAGCGGCCGTATCCAGAAGAAGTGCAGTGACCAACACGGTTTCTTTGCGGCTGCTTCGAGTTTAAAATGTTTAAACTTCTCAGAAAATCCCCGGGGATAACACTGTAGAAAGCTTGATTTCCCCTCGGGTCACTGCAAGGTCCCACCAGACAGATAGTACAAGCTGTGATGTCCATCTCAATCTTTCGCTGGCAGATAATGTCCTTAGAGTTAGTTCAATATGCAGCGTTTGGGAAAACTGACGGTGGCTTACAGCGTGACACTTTTCTGTGTTCTGCTTTTTTTATGACGTTGTTTCCTTCCTTGGCCAAGCCTTTAAATAAACCCTCTGTAGTTAGACAGTCTGTTGTCAGTTCAAGCTTCCAGCAGCCTTTTGGGAGGGAAACTAGCCTTTATAGACCATTAACATGCACAGAAACCTATAACCAGGGCTGCACATAACTGGTGCGCAGGTGATCATGCGCACCTCCGCCAAAAAAAGAGCACCGGGTCATTTGAAAAAAGGCGCATTTGCGTACCAACATTGAGAGAGAGAGAGGGAGAGAGAGAAGGGAGAAGAGAAAAGAGAGAAGGGAGAAGAGAAAAGAGAGGAGAGAGAGAGGACATAGAGAGGACATAGAGAGAAGAGAAAAGAGAGAAAAGAGAAAAGAGAGAAGAGAAAAGAGAGAGGAGAGAGAGAGAAAGATATTTGCGAGTTGCATATTATGAACTCAGGGCCGGCCCGTAGCGCTGGCGTTATAGATGTTCGCCTCAGGCGCCAGATATGTGGAGGCGCTGCGCTGTCAGCTCTGGGAGGGAAAAAAACATTTTTGACCGTTGGGGCTCATCCTAATTTTCGGCCTTGATGTAACAACATTCATAATTAAGTAAATGTAACACCCTTTTCATCCCGGTTACATGTTTAATTTGCCCTGTATGATGGGTGCTGTAAGTGATGAAAATGGGGGATGTTGGCTTGTCTGGCGCCCGCAGCTCACAGTCAAAATGCGAGTGAGCGTGGGAGCGAGGGAGGGTGCACCGGTTCCGGCGCTGTTGTTATTAGAATCTGGTGCTAGCTGCGGATATAAGAAGAAGATGTTTCTACAATGATGTGGAGGGAGAGTCCTCTCCAGTCAGACTGAGGCTGATAACTACAGCTCAGTGAGGTAAAGGACTCTGAGTGTTTAGATAGTTCACTTTAGTCTAAGTTCAAACGGTTTGATCACAATTTATGTAAACACATATTTCCAAGGCACTCCTTTATAATTATTGGGATGAACAGGTTTGAAATCATTCCAATGTATACTATAGGACAGTAACCAAACATATCCTTTAAAACTGGAGAGATAAAAAAATATGCATAAATAAATAAATGTTAAGGTAAAATAAGATATGAATGAACAACACAGATCAAATAAGTTACATTCATTTGTTATTGGCTATGGTAGGTTATTGGTTATGTTCACATACTTATTTGATTACATCCACTTGTCTAAGATGACAACAGAGACTTTCGACCCAAACCCAGCTGTTGACTTGTGGATGCAAGCATCTAATCACAGACTCAACCAGAGAGGAAGAAGTAGGCCTACATCATCAGCTACCATGTCTGACAGAGAGGAAGACAGTGAGGAGAACAGTCAGGAGGGGAGTGATGACAGCTTGTAGGATTACTGGTCGTGCTAATGTTGTCTTGTGTTCACCTCTGCATGTGTGTTCTGTGTTCACCTCTGCATGTGTGTTCTGTGCCGTGTGTCTGGCAAATAAAGACCCCCTCAAAAGTTACAGTTTATTTCATTTGAAGGATGAGCACCAAGCAACATCTCCAGGTGCTCCTTTGAGAACCAGGGCAAAGAAGTTATGTGCACCCCTGCCTATAACACACTACAGAAAAGTGAAAACCCCAAAAAGCTAATACGGCCTATTTATTTGGACTGATTGGAAAATGAGAGAAAGTGTGGCAGTCTCTCTGTGGTTGCTGTTGGGGTCAGTCAGTGGAGCAGCTACATCATGTTCACCTGAATCTCAGTCTGTGACAAATGGGGTCAACCCTGCAGAAATCCGATTAGAGGACCTAAGTGACGTTTGCCAAATGTCCCACCTTGTTATCCCATGCATTCATTTGATTACAGCTGCAAGCTAATGAGATGAACCGTCAAAGCAGAGCTGCTCCATCAGGAAGCGGCTGCTGAGACCTACCTCTGCTGCTGTCCCTTTCTCCGTCACCAACCTCTAGGTTCACTCACCTCTCTTTGTCAGCCGTAGTGTGAGCGCTACCACTACGAGACTAATCCGCCTTTATGCCTTGGATCTCCTCCACAGGAAACCCAGGATCAACTCCCAGCTGGTTGCTCAGCAGGTGGCTCAGCAATACCCCATGCCTCCCCCGCCCAAGAAGGAGCGGAGGGGAGAGGAGCGAGCGCTCGGACAAGGAGCGTCCAGACGGCGAAGGAGAGCGCGCCTTCGGAGAGGTTCGTCCAGAGGTGGAGCGTCCAGAGGTGGAGCGTCCAGAGGTGGAGCGTCCAGAGGTAGAGCGTCCAGAGGTGGAGCGTCCAGAGGTGGAGCGTCCAGAGATCAGGAGGCCAGAGGGAGACGCTCCAGAGAAGGAAAAGAGCGACACCGAACAACAGCCAATCAAAGACAAACCCGACAGAGAGAGGGGAATCATCGCCGCCGTCACGAAGAAGCCCAGCAGCAAAAAAGACCAGGTCAGTAAACGTATAGTCTGTTTATCTGTGTGGGAAATGTTACGTCCCTTATAAATAGGGAGAAAACAGGCAATGTGGTTAAAGTCAACTGCATTAACAAAAACACAGCATTTTACAAATATGTTCAAAAAGCTTTTTTTTTATAGAGACAAACCCTTTTGTTGTGACACGCCTTTTAGTTTCTTTAATATTACTGTCACAATAAGCCTTTCACAAAACTTTTCTCCCACACTCGACAAAAGCCGCAGGAACTCTACTTCAGTACAAAACGTCATCATGAGTGAGAGATCTGTTTCCTCAGCGAGAACGTTACAGAGGTGAAGAAAATACTGCAAATTCCCTTGATATGATGGTGGAGACCAAAGCAAACGATTTAAGGATTAAGACTATCTAGTAGATCACAGTTCAACACAGTTTTAAACACTAACGTCAGCACTTGCTAACACTTTTTAAACATGTACGCATAGAACTGCATTACCCACTTTTATGGTTATTGTCAATAAGTGTATGAAACGTGTAATTTATGATCTTGTTAACCTTAACATGATGAAGAGTGCCTTCCTCATTGACATGCTTTTTTTATTTTGTTCCTCCAGACCCAAATCAGACAACCACCAGAGCCCCCCCAGTGAAAAACACAGCATACAGTCTGGCAAGTCAGTGACCAAGACCACCATGAACTCTCACATCTCCAGGTGTGTATCCCCCCCCTCACAGTCGGCGAGGTTTCTCATTTCTAACGCAGCACTCGTCCTCAGAGAGATCCTGGCTGGTGGGAAAGCTCAAATGATTCACAAATGATCTTTTACACTAACGGCCCGTCCACACAGCGGCGTGCGTTGAAGCTTCCAACGCTTCTGCCCATTCACTTTGAATGGGGTGACGTCACTTTTAGCCGAACTGCATTTTGGGAAGCGACGTGGAGCGTTGCTCGCTTCAAAAGTTGAGCAATGTTCAACTTTTGACGCCTCGATGGAGGCGTCAGCCAATGAAATCCCGTTTATGCAAATCTGCCAGTACAAGCGCTAGCCAATCAAACCGCGTGTATGCTGGGAGAGACTACGCAGGTCTTTTCCTCATATTCAAAAAAATGGAGGAGAAATTCATTATAGCGGTAGTGAATCACCCGGTGCTGTATGATCAGTCTCTGTTCATCTACCGGGATACAAACCGGAGGAGCGAGGCATGGAGGGAGGTGGCAGAGACAGTGGGTGGAACTGGTAGGTTTTCGCCTGTTTGGGGATTTTATATTATATATGATATTCTGAACAAACTGTGCTGTTGTATTAGCTGTAACGTGTCTCTACTGTAGGCTAGTTTTATTATATGTACAGCACTTTGGCTCGACCAAAAATCGTTTATAAATGTTTATAAATGTGCTATATAAATAAAACTTGATTTGATATATCCAGTGTACTTAATTTTAACATTGAATGGACAGCTTGCAGGCATAGACAGTATTTAGCCAGCATGGAATGTAGCATAAAATAGCACCATAGACATTAATGTCATAAATGTTCATCATATAAAGTGTGAATGTAAAACCTTTTATGCAAATGTCAGTGATAAAGGGATTTGCTTTTCATTAATGTAGGAATCATTTAGTCAATTCTTCAAGTAGTTCAACAAATTAACTTTATTATTTCATTTCATTAGAGGAATTGTGCAGGACAAGGTGGAAGTCTCTGAGGGACAGGTTCCAGAAGGAGAAAGCTAGGGAGAAGGAGGCAAAAAGAAGCGGGGCAGGGTCGTCAGGGGGATATAAGCCCTGGCGTTTCACGGCAGTGATGGGTTTTTTAACTCCATTTCTCATTGACCGTGAGACGCCAGCTAGATGAAAGCCTTGGTGAGACTCAGCCAGCAAGCTGAGGCAGGGCAGACAGGAGAGGAGGCAGGGCAGACAGGAGAGGAGGCAGGGAAGACAGGAGAGGAGAGGAGGCATGGCAGACAGGAGAGGAGAAGGGGAAGAAGGAGAAGGGGAAAAAGGAGAAGGGGAAGGGAGATGTCCGCCTTTGAGAAAGGGTTGCTGTCAGCCATCGCTCCTGTTCTCTCCATGCCACTACCTCAACCTCGTCCAGTGGTGGAGGAGGACGAGGACGAGTTGTTTCTCCGGGGCCTCTTGCCTTCATTGCGAAGGATGTCCATGGCAAAGAAGATAAGGCTGAAATTTGCCATTCATAAGGCATTTTTTGAAGCAGAGCAGGAGGAAGACTGATTAATCACTTTTTTTTTGTTATTTACAGCCATACTGATCCACACTACATGTTTTACACTCATCACTGCACTCATCACTGCACACACTTCACTCACAATATTACATATACATTATTATAAATAAAAGTTATTTAAAGTATGTTATGGCTATACTGTGTCTTCACTTGTTCATGTAGTTTGTCAGTTACAACATACGGAAGATACAGAAGCTTCATGTATGTCGATGTATAATGTGCTGTCTTCTGTATAATTGTTCATGTGAAAACCTGTTGAAATCACGAGTGGTTTATCAGTAAAAACAGGGCTGAAGGAAAAAGGTTGTTAGCAATGCATAATATCAATTTAAGAAACATGTTTATTAGGAATGTTTGTTTTTAAAATGGCTCATTTGGAATATTTGCTTTTTAAAGAAAATATGGGTAGCTCTTAAAAGAGCTTTTGGTTTGGAGGCTCTTAAAAGAGCCATGGTGACCCTACACCACATTCTGCTGCCATGGCACTGCACCCTCCTCATTGAAATAGGAGCTGAAGGTCTCCCGCAGTTGGATGGATCTGCGTGTGGCGTTGTTGGAGCCCATCCTCGGTGCATCACGCAGGGTTGGAGTAGCTGGAGCTTCATCCGTGGACTCTGCGATAGGTGTGCGTGATGTCCTTCCTATCGTCTTCCTGCGGAGGAAGTTGTGCAACACACAGGTGGCCTTCACACACAACTCTGCTACCTCCGGGCTGGTGGTGATGACATGCCGGAACATTCTCCACTGAGATGAGAGGATGCCAAACGCACATTCAACCACCAACCTGGCCCGGCTGAGGCGGTAGTTGAACATCCTCTTTTCGCGTGTGAGGTGACGTCCAGGGAATGGACGCAGCAGGTTGTCCAGCAGCGGAAAAGCCTCATCTCCAACCAACACATGGGGAAGGCCCAGCCGCTCTGCTCCTGTGATGACGGTGTCAGGTGGTAGCTGCAGACTGCCATCTCTGAGGCTCTCTCCAAATGCAGAATTCTGCAGGCTCCCACTGTCGCTGCTCCTTCCAAAGCCTCCGACATCCACTACCCTGAAGAGGTACTGGGCATCCACGACAGCCAGCAGTACCAAGGAGTGGGTGGACTTGTAGTTGAAGTACAGGGACCCAGAATTTGCCGGAGCCTGGATCACCACGTGCTTCCCATCAATGGCACCAACGCAATTCGGAAAGTTCCAGCGCTCCTGGAACCCAGCAGCGATGGCTCTCCAGTCTGTGGTACCGGCATGGTTTCCTCAACCAGGGCGGTCCATATGGCACCCGCAACCTCCCTGACAAATGACAGCCACGGTTGCATGACCGACCCGATGAATGCTATGGTCCTGTATGAGTCACCGGTTGCCAGGTACCTGAGAAAAAAATAATATACATGATTAAAAAAAAGTATATGTCCCCACACACACACAGACCACAGACACACACACAGACCCCCCCCCCCCCCCACACACACACACACAGACCACAGACACACAGACCCCCCACACACACAGACCACAGAGACACACACCCCACACACACAGACAGACCACCCCCCAACACACACAGACCACAGAGACACACACACCACACACACAGACCACCCCCCCAACACACACAGACCACAGACACACACACAGACACACACACACACACACAGACCCCACACACAGACCACAGAGACCTACACCCCACACACAGACCCCCCCAGACCACCCCCCCCAACACACACAGACCCCACACAGACCACAGAGATACACACACAGACCACAGCCACACACACACAGACCCCCCACACACAGACCACAGAGACACACACCCCACACACACAGACCCCCCCAGACCACCCCCCCAACACACACAGACCCCCCCCATACCACCCCCCCCCAACACACACAGACCACAGACACACACACAGACCCCCCCAGACCACCCCCCCCAACACACACAGACCACAGACACACACACAGACCCCACACACACACACACACGCCATGTACACAGGGGAGCAATACTGTATTTACCTAGCTATCTTAATTAATGTCATCCATCTGAACTAAATCACAGACTTCATTCATCCATGGCGTGCATTCTCTCTCTTTGTATACAGAGTCAGGTTAAAGAAATAGAAATACACAAAACGTACCGTAGGCAGATGGCGAGTCGCTCGGCGGGTCCGATTGACAAACGCATATGGGTGTCTGCCTTTGAAATCAGTGGACCCACTTTTCCGAGCAACTCGTCGAACACGTCTTTGCTCATCCTGAAGTACTGCTGAAACAGTACATCGTCCAGGCGGAGCTCTTGGACCAGAACGTGGTATTCCCCCCTTGCAGACGTTTTCTGAGTATCGGATGTACCCAACAGCGACGCACACTACATGGCCTCCTGCGAGACATTGCATACACTAAAGCAGGGGTGGGGAACCTCCGGCCCCCGGGCCGTATACGGCCCGCGAGACCATTTGGTGTGGCCCTCGAGACCATTTGGTGTGGCCCTCGAGGTAATTTATAAACACACGCAAAAAAGAAAAAAATTAAAGAAATCTAGACGGCAAAATAATTAAACAAGTGAGTGCCTGTTTTTCCTGGCCAAGGTCAGGGTCCTTGAACACAACACAAGCCTAACGTGTCATCACGTGGTATATGTCTCGTCTGACAGGGGTGTAGTTCTGACGGGGAGCACCAGAACGCAGCTCCGCTCCGGCACTTCCAAAAATTGCAGTACCCATAAGGAGCCATGCTGCAGTTTTTGCGTGGCTGTGTCTTTAGTTGAAAGCCCAGTGGCGATCTGTTCATCTGTCATACTGATCATACAGTCAATAACTTTGTTGTTATTAGCATCTGGTTAGCTAGCTATGCTAACGAATATAAGAAGCTTTTTCTACAACCAGTGAGGTAAAGGCACATCTTTATATGATCATTAGGCCTATAGTTATAAAAAAATAAGAGAATAAAGTAAACAAGTATAAAATACTATATGACAGTAAAAAAAAGTTGTTATTAATAAACAAGAATACAGTTCGAAAGGGGAGTGATTTGTAAAATATCCATAAAGAAAAAGAAAATCTGCTTACAGTTCTGTTTCATATGGGTGTTGAGAGATGTATCCATAGATCTCTTAATGTTGCTCTCAAAGTGCACCAGATTGATGCTTTCAACTTCAACATTTAAAAAAAAAAATCTTCCCGGTGGAGCATGCCCCCCGGACCCCCCTAGAGGGGGTTAGGTCCCCCCCCACTTAAATCATGTTCACATGGATAGGAGTCTAAATACATTTACACACATCTTGTGTCCATATCTTTCTGTTTTGGTGGTCATGCCACAACCGTGCACGTGCTCTGGATTAAGAGGTTGCTTTTTCTTTGCACAGCATGAAAGAAAGGTGAAATGAGTGGGCTGTGATTTTAGTATTTTTCAGCAGAGGTCAATAATTTGTACGGCCCTCGGAGGATGTTGAAAACATTGAAATGGCCCTTGAGAGGAAAAAGGTTCCCCACCCCTGCACTAAAGCTACCCTTGCTACAAAACCGGGGTTGCGTTCGGATAGTTTAAAAATCAGCTCCTAAGTGCTAACCCTATCTCCTATTCCTTGACCTCTGAGTGAAACGTCACGGGGTTAAGGGATAGTGGATAGGAGAATTCAAAAGGATTTAGGAGAAGAGACTGCGGTACTTTAGAGAATCCGACTGCACTTTCACTATCCGACGTGTTTATGATACGCCAGCGGACGTCATTTTGTGCGTCTGCTGCTGTGGGGTAACCATGGAAACTACAGTTTTCTATACAGCGGACTACGACATGGATGTTCAATAAGAACGAGGGACTACTGTAAACTCATCTAGAGACTCTGCACCGTGCTCTGATGCTGTTGCTTTGCTTTATGAACGTGGACAACAGAGAAACATATTCTTCATGACCAAAATTGGAATTTAAATGAAAGTGAAACTTATGCTCGTCACCCTCTCCCTCCGGTCCACATTAATACAAATGATCCCAATACGTATGATTGTATGAACTATGAAAATACCTTAAAATCAATAGAAATGTATAAATTATAAACGTTAGTCTTTAACATCTATCACTGTGTGGATCACCATTCAAACATCTTTTAAAAGTTGAACAACCCCACACAGCTCAGTAAAGACAGTGAGATGTTGACTTTATTTGATCATTTCAGTAAAAACTAACGTTCATATTTCTCTTTTTGATTATAATACTGATGAACGTTCAAAACAAAGCACTTTGGCAACTTACCACATACGTTTTAAAATGCTTAATAAGCACCGTAACTTTCATGATATCATTTCTCCGTCATAATCGGTTGTTTCCGTGAACGGCCGACTGTTGTGTGATGTCAAATGCTGCGGCTGCAAGGCATTGTGGGGCAGCATTTTCTCCTCTCCTTTCGGTTAGGGAGGTCCAGTGGTTCCTAAGCTAAAGGAGGTTATAAAGGAAGTTTGAAACCTCCTTTCCTATCATTCTAGAGAATTCGAACAGCACTTATCATGGCTGCCACTGAGGGACTTCCGGGTCATTTCACTCCGTTAGGAAGGTTCCTAAGCTAAATGGACTATTCGACTGCAGCCCAGGGTTTTTCCTTTTTTGCTATGTCGGGGGCGGGAGATTCATGTGATTGGTTGTTGGTCGCATTGACTCCCCAAGCTTCAGACACGCCCACCGCCAAGCGTCAACGCACGCCGCTGTGTGGACGGTCCGTAAACACCCACTCTCACGGCCCGTCTACACTACAGGCATCAACAAATCTTGAAGCTGGGCGTGTCTGAGGCTTGGCGATTTCTCGCGACCAACAACCAATCAGGAATCTCCCGCCCGCCCCCGGCATACAAAGCAATAGCAATGTTAAAACGAAGTAAACTGGATATAAAATCCCCAAACAGGCGAAAACCTACCAGTTTCACCCACTGTCTCTGCCACCTCCCTCCATGCCTCGCTCCTCCGGTTTGTATCCCGGTAGATGAACAGAGACTGATCATACAGCACCGGGTGATTCACTACCGCTATAATTAATTTTCCCTCCATTTTTTTGAATATGAGGAAAAGACCTGCGTAGTCTCTCCCAGCATACACGCGGTTTGATTGGCTAGCGCTTGTACTGGCAGATTTGCATACACGGGATTTGATTGGCTGATGCCAAGCATCTAGTCTCAAAAGTTGAACATTGTTCAACTTTTGATGCCGATAGATGCTCGTGATGCTTGTAAAGCCATGCCATGCTCCCCACAATGCAGTTCGGCGAAGTTTAAAAATCTTCTACGTCACCCCGTTCAAATGAATGGGCGAAGCGTTGAAAGCATTTTTCGATGCCTGTAGTGTAGACGGGCCGTCACTTTAAACACACTGGTTCTGACGGATCATGTGTCACCCCGTGAATTGAGCAATTTAGTGCAACCGCCCCCACAGCACTGTGTCCCCCCCCCTCTCTTATTGTTGGCGAGATACATATTGTGGTTGCTGTTTGTTCTGGTTTTAATCTTAATGTGTGCATGTGTCTGTTGATTGTGTATATTTAGGATATACATATTTTTATAAATGTTTGTGTTCGGGATTGTGGGAAACGGTATTTCGATCTCTGTCTGTATCCAAAAACTGAAAGATTGACAATAAAGTTGACTTTAATTTGTTGGATAGATACAAGTTTCAAGTAGGGCTGCTCAATTAATCGTATTTGAATCGCAATTATGATTTTGGCTTGCAACGATTATGAATTGAAATCATTTTTAATAATCGTGATATCAATTATTGACCCAAATAATCGAGATTATGATTTTTGCCATAATCGAGATTATGATATTTGCCATAATCGAGCAGCCCTAGTTTCAAGGTGTACATAGCTACAGTGTAGATATGCCAATGAAAACCTTATGTCCCATGCCCCTCCTCCTCCTCCTCCTCCTCCTCCTCCTCCTCCTCCTCCTCCTCCTCCTCCTCCTCCTCCTCCTCCAACAGCGCAACACAATAACACAGATACATAGACTGATACATATTGTGGTTGCTGTTTTCTTGTTTGTTAATGCTCTTATTTTCCGTGTGCGCCCCTCAGGCCCAGACTGAAGAACATCGACCGGAGCACCGCGCAGCAGCTGGCCATCACCGTGGGCAACGTGACGGTGATCATAACAGACTTTAAGGAGAAGACCCGCTCCTCCTCCACGTCCTCGTCCACCATCACGTCCAGCGTGGGCTCCGAACAGCAGCACCAAAGCTCCGGCTCCGAGAGCATGGACAAGGGCTCGTCGCGGGCCTCCACGCCCAAAGGGGAGCTCTCTGTGGGGCACGACGAGTCCTTCTGAGAGCCCCCCCTCCCCCATGGCCCCCTTTTTCCCCCTCCTCCCGTCCTCACCCCTGTTCCAACCAAACCCCATATTTCTCCCACATTTCTGGACACTATGGATGGAGAGATTTCCCCCTTTTTCCCCATCGCTGCCCCCTGCCTCCATTCCATCCCCAGTCCCCGATGCTAAGAGGATGGATGAGAGGGAAACTAAATGCTCTTTTGGGGGCGAACTCGGGCTACAAGGAATAACCCCTTCCCCCCCTCCCATCCCCAAACTCCCCTCGCGGTAGCATCGAGACACTTGTTTTGTTTTATATTTGTACGTGGATGTGAGGCCATGTTTTGTTTTGTTTTTGTAAAGAAGATAATCTCCGCTGGGCACAATAACCCCAACATCATTTCAATAACTATTATTATTACCCTTACTCCCTATAGAGTGGTGCAGTGACGAGTCCTATAACCAGGAAGTGAGTTAGCATTTCACCACTACCGGTTCCCTCGTCTCAGAGCCAATGGGATCTCTCCATAGGATTTTGGAAAATAGCTGGAAATAAGGTCTGTGGTTGACACACATTTAACTTGTACAATTTAGAATAACGTTAGCGTAAATCTAATCGCCAGAAGCAAAATGTTACGTTATTCTAAATTGTACAAGTTAAATGTGTGTCAACCACAGACCTTATTTCCAGCTATTTTCCAAAATCCTATGGAGAGATCCCATTGGCTCTGAGTCGAGGGAACCCATGCGCAGCTTACTTCCGGGTAAATATGTCCTCCCTGCACCGCTCTATCGCACCTGTATGCTTTGGTATTCTCCTCCTTTATGTTCAAGCTTTGCTGTGTAGCCCTGACGATCGATCATTCCTTCAGTGTTTTTATGAAGATGATATGACACCACACACACACACACACACACACACACTGGTGCTACATACACTGTGACGCGGTTTTGCAGATCTGGAAACGCCCATTCACTCAATGTGACTGATGATCACTTTTCTCTCAATAACACTGTCTCACTCCGACCTCCGTCTGTTCATCTGAGGGTCAGACTTGTTCAGCTAGATTGTCTATGATTTAGTATGCTATAGCAGTTCTCTTATACAGTATCTTATGTCCTTAACTGTACAGTGTAGGCTGTTGTGTAAAACACTAAAAGCTGTTTGCTATTTTTCCGTATTCCTTTCATGGATATTGGGTTTTCCTGGCTCCAAGTTAGAGAGTTATTCTTCTGTTGTGACTGAAGGATGGTGCCACGCGGTTCCTGTTGGTAAAACCGTTCCGAACTTTAAAGTGTTGTGTCGAGCTGTTGTGAATCACACTTTACTTTTTATTTTTGGTTGTGATCCTCCGCCTTTTCCCCCTTTTTAAATCTCCACTCTCTCAACCTGAAATATCCGAGAAAACAAAGTGCAAAGACGTGATCAATTTGCAAAATATTGACAATTCCCCTTTTTTGTTGTTTTAATTTAAATTAATTTAAGACTCCTGTCATTGAAGGCAAACAAATATTGCAGTAGTTTATAAAACATAAATGCTCTTTCAATTTTTCTTTTAAGTACAGCAAGGCTTATTTAAGGGTTTTAAATTCCCCTAGCTGATACTTAGACCAACATAATTTCCTTTTAAAGTGTATTAAATTGTATAAAGAATAAATGTGTATATGATATCCTAGTTTTATTTATTGAAGGACCAAAGGAATTTCATAATGACATGATACATAGACAGATAAATAACAATTTGAAATGCAATTATCTAATGTGTGAGATGAATAACAGTTCAAATAAAGACTAATATAATCCATGTTAATGGTGTTCTTATTGTCCATTTGTCCCTTAGCTAATGATCAATGCTGTGAGTCCAAAAACACCCGGTAGGTGGATGTTGCCCTAATTTTTGAAGCAAGAGAAATGCTGAGAAAAGCTCCGGGTTGAATCCTTTGACCTTAGTAACCCCCCGTCTTCACTGCCACAGACTCACAAAGCAACTAAAACCAGGTGAGGTGGGGGTCAACAAGTCCCCAAAAACATCCCACTATAGGATGTGAGGGGTTGTGAGGTGAGCTTTTCAGTTTCACACGTAGGGAGGATAATCATGTGAGCAAAGTCCAAGAGGGATGAGTCCATGAGGATCTTCTGCTCTTAAGATAATGTCATTATGTACTTGATTGCATACAAATAAGGAATAAAGTGTTCCAAGTGAGGAGAAGCAATGTGAATACAACTCGAGGGGGAAAACAAATCCACTTTTAACTGAGGAAATAGAAAGAAACCATGCTTTGTAATGCAATCTATTAGAAATGGGCCTAAAAAGCCACGTTTTCACCTGCCTTATCTGCAACTTGACTGAGGACTCCGACAGAAAGGACTCATTGTTAAATGATTGACATATGGCCATTTGCTGAATATATGAACTATTGCTTGTATAGGATTTTCAAAAGGTGCAACACACTATGAATGATGGCATTGGAGCTCAAGTCTTTTGTTTCCTGTTTCCGCGCAAGCAGTTCTGTTCTTGTGTGCGACCAGTAACCTTAATTTACTGTGTAAAGATGGTTACATTTTTTAGCTTTGTTTGTCAGAGACCAATATAAAGAAGGCTTGTTTACTGACTGTATAACCTTAACCGTGAATTTCCAATGAAGTGTATTATACAAACTCATTTCTTCCTATTACAGTGTCTTGTACAATGCTTTTTAAAGTTATTGCTCGGTTTCAAAAAGAGAAAAAAAGTATTAAAAAAAAGTGTTAGGGACAGTACGATAATCCATTCTTTGTTTATTGCATTTTGTGTTTAACTTATAGCTGATGTGTCATTGTTTCCCCTTGTGAAATGGTCACATGATGTTCCTGGTGTGGAAATGTACGCAGCATTTCCAGAGGATCACGGCTCCTTGTCTAGCTTATAATGTTAAAATAATACATGTTTCTGGCATGTGCACGACTTTGCGCTTATAGGCTAACCTGATCAGTTTCCTCCGCTTCAAATAGAAACGTCTATTTATGAATTTTGCTTGTAGTTTTTCACAAATAAAATTGTTAAAGTTATCTATTTTTCTGGGTTGCTTTGTGTCCTTTATTCATCCACATGTGTATTTACAGACTCATGTCACTGCAGATGTTCAGCTTAAAGCCATTGATGTAATGTAACTAAGTACATTTACTCAATTACTTCAGTAAAACATGTGGGGTTTTAACTTTACTTAAGTATTTTTACATTATAATACTTTATACTTTTACTCCACTACAGTTTGTAGGCAAATGTTGTACTTTTTTTTACATATTTAGTTGTTATTTTCTTTGCAGATTTAGTTTATAAATAGAAAAATAAACAGACAAACATTATAATATATTATTAGGTTGAGCTGAGCCAGTAGTCTATGAAGTAATTTAACTAAACCCAACCTTTACCAAGTAGTGAACACATGGTGTAAAAGGCATAGATACATTTAATACAATAATTAGAAATATCTGGTGCTTTAAATAATCATTTTTCATATTGAATACTTCTACTTTTGGTATTTTTTAAGGCTAAACTTTTTTACGTTTACTCAAGTACAATCTTGTGATTGAGTATTTGTATACTGTTGTATTGCAACTTATACTTAAGAATATAATCTGAGTACTTCTTTCTCCTATGCTTAAAGTTTAATTACAACAGTACGCGGTAAAACCTTCTATGAACCAGAAAATCTTGTATCATGTGAACGCATGCTTTTTTATTTCATTTTTCTTATTTAACAAAGCCCGGAGACACAAACAAGGACATACCAACAATAGGGGAGATGGCATTCCCATCTCACAAAAAAGTACAACAACAAAATACAATAAGTGTAACATCACTCACTAGAGAAAAACAAAAGAACACACAATGTGACTGCAGCGTTACACAGCGTCAGACAACAGGACGTGTGTGTGGATCTGAGACAGCAGCAGACTATTGATCCAGATGAAATAAACATACATAACATCCATCTGTTTGCAACTCACATATATCATATCAATATTCCAATTAGACTATTCTGCACAGTTTCTATCATATTCTGTTACTATTATATTCTATGTTATTGTACTTGTGCTATCTTATCTGTTGTATTGTGTTGCACTGTTGGACGAGCCTGTGACCTAAGGTGTTCATTGTCATAACTACACTGTAGCTATGCACACATGACAATAAAAGCCTTGAATCTTGAACCTTGAGATGAGGAGTGTGTGTCCACAGCAGAGGACTCCACTGAGCAACACACACACACACACACACACACACACACACACACACACACACACACACACACACACACACACACACACACACACACACACACACACACACACACACACACACACACCACACACACACACACACACACACACACACACACACACACACACACACACACACACACACACACACACACACACACACACACACACACACACACACACACACACACACACACACACTCCCTACTCCACAGCAGAGGACACATGAGGGAGCCATTCTCCTGACAGACTCTCATCCTCCAGAGGCTGGAGAGCAGCCAATGAGCCGTCAGAAAGCTCCGGCCAATGGCTGCTCTCCTCTGTCGCCATGATCTATACACATTATGCAAGTCTAGTGTTTTAAAAGCACATTTACAGAGGGAGTGGGCTACTCCATTTCCCTCTGCTTCATTTTAATGCACTTCCACTTTGCTCTCATTGGTAGGAAGTTACAAAGTACTTTACTTCAGTATTTTTTCAGAATCCTTTATTTGTCCCGTAACAGGGAAATGTAAAATATTACAACAGCAGAAACCCCATTAAAGAAAAGAACATATACAATGTGTACTAACATTTTATACTTTGCATTTATGTATCAATGCATATTTATTCAATTTGTTTTGCCCAAGCCGGTTAGTCCTTCCTTATCAAAAAGAAAAACACACCACCCGATTAAATGTTTTACTGTGATTCACATTAACTTCAACCTTAAAGCAGTCCTATACAGTATAAGAAAATAAGGTAGAAAACCCACTATCCCATGTATCTTAATTGTAATTTACAGCTTTGGATGATTTCTCTGGGATGCTTCATTCAAAAGTTAAAATAATTTAACATTGTTAATGTAGCATCATAAAAACTATGTGGATCCGTTCGTTAAAACATATATCCATGTCTTACTTCAAATGAAGTATTCACCAGTTCAATAAATATCCTATGAGCTCATTGTCATGTAACATTTTCCCACTTCGCAATTTTGCAAGGTTAGCCCGAAACGTTTAAATGGAGGTGATGTTGGGAGAATATTAAAAGTATTTTGTATTACTATAACTTTTTTTTAAATTTGTTTTATTATTTTGTCCTTATAGCATTGTGAAGCACCTTGAGATGAAGTGTGCTATATAAATGAAATGTATTATTATCACTGAGGTTTCATGTGTTTAATCCACTGATTGAATTAGAATAGTCTAACAAATCATTGAATCATTGTGTTCATAATTTGTATAAATGAACAGAAATCGATCAACCCTTTATGGGGCATACGTGGGTCAACAGAACGTCCACCATATTCTTAATAATGGGAGTTAGCGGGTGGATGTTGTGACCCAAGTCATGGGCAAGAACCATCTCCCAGGCATCGACCCAGTGAACATTCAGTCCTTTGAACACGGATCTGAGCACACGATCAATCTGCATGGAGTACCAGTCGCTGTTTAATTGCAACACATAAAGGGTCATATCTCTGGGGTGTCCGCTCCGTATGATGACCACGGTGTTCGGGGCGCGGTCCAGCAGCCGCTGCATCGCACTGCGGATGCTCATCAGCCTCCGGATGTAAAGCTCTATTGGTAACAAGTCGAAGTGTGACCAGATGCTAATAACCACAACAGTGTATGCGCCTCCAATCAAGTCATCGAGTTCGTTGGCGATGTAGCGCAGCTCGCTGACCGGGACCGTGGTGAATTTGAGAGGGGGGCCGTGGCAGCGCCACGTCATCAGGATATTGTCCGCATGGTCCACGGCCATCTGGGGGCCAACTTTCACATCCACGTGAAGGTTGAACAGACCTAAAAGTAAACGGACAGAAAATATATGTGAATAATTCAAGACACATCTTTTTAGATTAGCAGCCCCCCATTTTAAATGTTCTTTTAGTCTTTATTATTTACCTACCTTTATATTGTTTAATTTATTTTATAATTGTTTTGTATTTGTATTTCTGTTGTTCACTTTGTTTTATGGGGTTTTATATGTTATATTGTTGCATCGACTCAGTTGTTTTGTGTCTTATCTGTCAGAGAGAATTTAATTTGTATTATCATACATTTTACCTCCTTGTGTCTCTTAACCTGATAAAATGTTATATTTTGCTGCATGTACCTTTTAAAGTTCTTGTTTGTTTTTAACTTGTGATGATGTGTCATTTTGTAAAGCACTTTGAGCTGCATGTGTTGTATGAAAAGTGCTATATAAATAAAGCTTTATTATTATTAAATGTAGCCGCAACTGTTGCCAGGATGTGGATCACTGACTACCTGGTATTTTCTCGCTGAAGAATTCAAACCACTGCCTGATAGTGGAGTCCCCGTAAAGGTGGAGTTTCTTGGCCTTCAGACACTCTCTGGTGGTGGCAGGGTTGTCAAACTGGCGAACTGTGGGGCTGCCTTGTGCCTTCCAGACACCCTTGTAGTAATGGCCGCTGGGTCCGGGTATCACAATGAGGCTCTTCGCCTCTGGTTGATCTGAGAGGAAGTTAAAGGAAAACGGTTTTATTAGAGGAACATATTCAGGTGTATATCAGTATGTAGTGCCTCTAGTCTCATACTGCCTGTGCTGCAGCACCTCTTTTCACCCTCTGTCTGAAACCAGACAATTTTAGTGTAGTTCGTAGAAGTGTAGATCGAACCTAGTATGAACCTAAATGCAGTTTGAGGTATTACAAATATTATGAATGGAACCAAACTCAGTTTTTATTTTATTTCTGAATATTTGTTGGTATTCGTTTTAGTACCAACAAATACATTTTTATAAAATTCAATCATTGAAAAAAAAACCATTTCTGATAACTTTGGCCCGGTTAACCGCACAGACTTTGCTGCAACAATATCACAAATTGCATTTTCATAAATTCTTCTTTTGGAGCGGTGTGCGATCTCAGTGCGACCTACTGCAGAGGTGAAAATCAAACTTTACCTTCTTTTTTTGGAACCACGCTGACAAAGGCAGGTCCTGAAGCATTGATGTAGACTTTCATGTTGACATATCTGAAGGAAAGCACACATAATAAAATACTTATTACAAACAGAACAACACTATCAAAACAAGAACATACATTTAAAATGATTGAATTAATTTAAAACTAGAAAAACAATGCAATACAATTAGAAACTGCTATATCACACAACTCTTAAAAACAAATGTGTGACTAACATTAAAGCTGCACCGTTTAATACTTATATAAACCCATGTGACAATTACCTAAACAACACATTACAAGTGTGTGTGGTGATAATATAACTATAAACACAGGCTACCACAGCATTGTGGCTCCTACAAAGTGGTTCAAATTACTGTGATGTGAATAGTATTGTTCACACAATGAAACCACAGCAAATAGTTACCACACTGTAAAATGTTTGGCTGTAAAATTACAGTAAATTATGGCTACTAGTTGCATGGATTTCACAGTAATTTACTGTAAATATTTCACAGTAATTTACTGTAGATATTTTACAGTAAATTAGAATAAAAGTACAACTAAATACTGTGACTTTACAGTTGCCATGCCCATGGAATTACTGTGATATAGCAGTACAGAGCTGTGGTATTATGGTACCTTGCTGTACATAAATTACAGTAATTACCTGTATTTGCACACTATTACTGTAGAAGTAATGCAACACATTAGCCAGTAATTTACTGTAAATATAAAAATGTAAATAATACGATATTATATTGTAAATCTGAGTAGTTGACTGGGATTTTACCATAACTACACAATTCAATCAGCTCAATCAACAAAGAAAAACTAAGAAAATGCCCATTTTAACTTTGTATTACTCCATTGAAGTGCAAAGTACATTTCACAGTGTCTTGGAAATGTTGTTACGGCCCCAACCTCTACTCCGCGGTAGTGGCTCGTACTGAGACCCGCAACATGAAAGAATACACGCAATAACCGGTACTTGATGAGCATTTATTGATAATCAGCCGTTTGCTCACACAAGCGAAACGGGAAACAAAAAGAGATCTGGAGGACTGGCCAAAAGGAACAAACAGAAGGAGGGAACCCGAGCCAGCCACACCACGGGCCGTAGGACCCAGAGCTTCCCCCCCTAACCAGAAATAAATTATAAACCCTATGGGAAACAAAATAAAGCCGCGAAAACTGGACTAACAGGTCCTCCAGGCTAAACATAAACACATCTGCAAAAATATGGCCTACAGCTCAAAATGGCAAAGAGGTATTCTAAGGAGAGTGTCTCCCGGCGTTAGGAGGCGAGACATCCTTCTCCTCCAGCTTCTCTTTATATATACACACGGCTGAGTGGAATTTGAAACACCTGGGCAGAGGCGGAGCCAGGGGCAGACCAGGTGCACCTGAGCAGAGGCGGAGCCAGGGGCAGACCAGGTGCACCTGCGCAGCAGGGAGACAGAAAATAAAACAAGGAGGGGAGCACTTAACACATGTCTACACAGACATCCACTCGAAGTTAACCATTTTTCTGAAGAATGTGTTGACATGGGGGTTTAAATTGCCATGCCTCTTTTTGGCTTTCGAGCCCGTCTCAGGATTAATGCTCAGGAAGCACCTGAAAACACTAAGCCAAGACAACAATTTCAATTTTACATAGATGTATATGTTGCATAGTTTATTTTAAGGCACATGCAGCGGTGCCCCTTTCAATTTAAGTAACACTTGCACCAAAGAAATACATTTAAAGCCAAGCAAGAAAATCACTTAATTTGTTGTGTTATCACAGAGGATGGTCTGAATACAGTATTTTACTGTGAAATAGTACAGTAACATGTTGTGAAATCCTGGTAATAATTGATCCTGTACATTCACAGTAATTAACTGTGCCTGCATTGATTTCACTGTGAAATTCAAAATTACAGTATTATATTGTCAACATCACAGGTAAAGACTGTAAAGTGGTAAAACAGTAATTTATTATAAAATATTACAGCTAAATATTGTGAAATCATGGTAATATTTTACAGTGTGGATATGTTTGAGTTAGCCGGTTGGCCTAATCCAAAACATACGCGCTCTCGCTAAACTGTACTACGACGCGGGTTATCAAGTGGATCCCTCAAGCCAGCCGTGTCCTATCTAGTTAGGTGCACGTTCACATGAAAGGGGTGGTATTTGGAGCATTCGACCAATCACAAACATGGACAAGCGTACTGACAGCGCAGCGTCATACTTCCTGAATGAAAAGTCAACTATAATATTAGGGTGCGTTCACACCTGCCTTGTATAGTCCGGTTGAATCGAACCCTGGTGCGTTTGGCCGCTTGGTGCGGTTCATTTGGGTCGGTGTGAACGCAGTCCGAGACCTCTTAAGTGAACTAAACAACCGGACTCTGGTCCGCTAAAATAGGTGGTCTCGGAAAGCTTTCTTGCGAACTCTGGAGTGGTTAATTGCTGGTGTGAACGCAATCCGCACCAAGACATAGCGTAGTATTTGCGCGTCATTTCTTGTTGTGGAGGAGAGGATTGCAAATGGTGGGAAAATGAGCGGCAGGGGACAAACGTGGAGCTATGAGGAACAGAGATGCCTTCTGGATATCCGGGCAGAGGAGAACATTTCTCAACTGCTGGAGAAGGTTCATAAAAACGCGGAGGTGTTCAAAAATCTTTAGCGACAGACTGAAGCAACTAGGATTTAACCGGAGTGTTGAACAGTGTCGTATAAAGGTGAAGAAACTACGACAACAATACATAAAAGTGCGCGACGCGCTGCAGAAGAGCGGCAGCTCCCCAAGTATCAAAGAGACATTTATTTGGTATGAGGATCTCGACAGTATCTTGAACACAAGACCCATAGTGAGCCCCGTAGATGTGGTCGAGTCCTATGCGGAGGAAGAGGTGGATAAGTCGCCTGATGAGGGGAGCCTGAGCTCCACTGCCGATGCCGGGGCTGCTAAGGCGGATACTAGTCGCAGTTACTCCGCGGATACCGAGGACTCTGATAACAATGGTACGTTCACTGTAAACTTATTTATGCTGCCGGTGTACATGCCTTGTTATCTGTCCTTTTGACTTGGGGGATGAGCTATAACTATAAACTATACAACTCCTGACTGCTGAACGTCTGTCATTATAGGCATGGGTTATAACGTTTTTTAACGCACGTTGTCTCAGTATGTATTGATATGCGTCGCCCGCTACATTCTGTTGATATGCTCTCCATATGAACAGCAGCATGAAAACAATCTGCGGATGCTCCATGTTGGCGGCTCCGGTGGAAATTGCCGCGATTTTCCGTGTTTACATGTGGTTTTTACCCGCTTCATGTCTGACCAATGGTTGAACAGCATTTCCGTGCACATGACTTGTGTTTAAAGTTTATAGTCCCTTTGAGTTTTTGCCAGTGTGAACGCAAACCGAACCTTCTGAAAAATGAAACAATGTAACAAACTGTGGTCTGGTGCGCACCAGAGAGCGGACTATTAGGTGTGAACACACCCTTAGACATATGAAGAAGTTAAACTTTAAACATCCATGACTTAAACCCTTTATCCAGGATCAAAGCCACAGAGCTGCACCTGCAAGGTGAATACAGCTGGCAAAATAAAAAGTGTTTGAATGCGTACATTAACAGGTTTATGATATCACTGCCCCGTCTAAAACACGATCTGACTTTAATTACATTTGACTCGAGTGTTTCGTCAACTTAATGTGTTGCTTAAAATAATACTTCTGCATACAGTATGTGACACTGTAAGTGTTGCACGGGCCGATACGGCTCAGCTGACTCAGATAAGGAAATATATGATTATGATGTGATATGCCGCGGACTGTACTGTTATGTACTTTTATCCGGTTACTTATGTTGTGGCAGATATTTAATTAAGCTTTCTTAACGCTAATGTTATAATAGTCAGATTGCTGTGAAGATCGGAGGTGATATTCTATTAATGTTCACGTTCACACAGTCGGTGATTTTTGCCGGCCGTCTTTCCTGCGACGGCAGCTTTTCTGTATTTCCTTTCTCCTGTAATATGACTTGATCGCTTTAAACTCCGCACACTGAGCTCTGATTGGTCAGCAGGCAGTGCTTTCACTGAGTTGAGCTCTTAGCCTGCAACCTAACCTGCTCCGGGGCAGGTTAGCCGCTCAGCATAACTTACCATGGAGATCTAGCCTGCTAAAAAGAGAACCAGCGTTGTAAGACCGGAAACCCCGAGTTTTCCCTGAAGTTAGCCGGCTAAGCGAAAATCCTGCTTCGTAGTACAGGCCTCAGGGCTGCTGGGCCTTCTTACTGGTTGTTTTGTGTTTTTCTGTCTTTTTCTTTTTGAGTTTGAATGTTTTGTATGTCTGTTTTACATTAATGGTTGAATCTAGCAATCTTTACAATCATGAATCACATTTATGCGTAACAAGTGACAGGAACATTATTTGCTATTATTTCCAGACTGGATGAATTAAAGGGTATACAAATCATTCATTTGAATATCAGGAGTCTATTGCCCAAAATTGATTTACTTCGGATATGGGTTGTTCTACATAAACCTAAAATCATAACACTCTCTGAAACTTGGCTTAATAGTAACATTTCCGATAGTGAACTACAAATCACAAATGATTTGCTTTACAGATCTGATCGATGCAGCAGGGGTGGAGGTGTGGCTATTTATGTCTCCTCTGACCTTGTGACTGAGCTAATTGCTACTTCTATAGAGCCTCTACATTTTGAATGCATTTTTCTTAAAATTATTTTTCATGAAAATAAATGCTTAACTATTGGTAGCATCTATAGGCCACCTTCTTCACCTGCAGAGTCTTTTAACCACATCATCGACACTATCAACTCCATTTCCTGCGGAAATGAAATAATCTTGCTTGATGATTTCAACAAAAATTGGTTTGATAAATCATCTGATAGAGAGAAAAAACTTTTCAGTAGTCTAAATGTTAAACAGCTAATTAATGAGCCAACTCGTATCACTCTGAGAACCCAATCTCTGCTTGACTGGATTCTGGTGTCACACCCTGACAGAATCTTAAAAGCTGGTGTCATGTCGGATTGCTTCA